ATGTGTCTCTTCAGGACATTGGCGATCATGGCTCTCCATATTTTCTCATCCTTTGTAGCTTTTAATAACTTTTGTCTTTTTGCCATCACTCCCAAACCTGGATCTGCTACCCATTCACTCAAGTTCACTACGTTTATTGTTTCTCACTCTCTTACCTTCAATCTATCTTTTGAGTATCAAATTTTTTAAGCTTTCTTTCCTCATTATGTAGTGAATAATAATAAAAAAACAGGTTTTAACCTTTTGTTCATATACTGGGTTCAAATACAGACAACACTAAAATCTAAACATGATTATTTCTTTTTTAAATTTTCCCTCTACTTTAAAAATTTACTGTTCTATGATATACATAATTATTAGAATGAATGGAAGTTTTTGTATATTTCTTTCGTAAATCCTGTCTGTGATATCACAGGTTAAAAAAATAAATGCATTCATAGACTATCTCTTTTCAAGTACACACAGAAGTAAATCCCTACATCCTGCACTGTGCTTGGTACATCCACACAATTATAGCTTCCATCTGTAACTTCCTGAATATCAGATTAATCAAGTCTTTATTTTGCTAAGCAACTGGTAGTGTTCATTAGGAAATTAATTAAGCTCTTTCTAAAATTGTTTGATTTGTATGAAGATCCACTTCCTGGTGTCACTTAATCAAAAAACATTCATAAATTAATTTGCAAAAAAAGATCTCTATGTCTCTGCATACAGACATTTTCAGTCTCCATTCTATTTTGGGGGTGTGTATAAATGAAATAGAAGAAGGAAGCATAGGAAAAGATGGAAAGAGGGGGAAGGGCTGAAGACAAGTGTCAAGCAGGCCATTAATTTATTTGAGGAGCTTCAAACATAGATACATCAATAATTCCTTAATGCTCTCAGTAGAGCAGATATTTATTTTTCAACATAGTCTCTTTCATTGTCAGTGCACTTAACCCAAAGTTTGTCTATTAATCAAACAGACATTATACAGTAAATATTTCAGATCAAAATCCAGCTTTGTCAGGATACAGACATAATGATCCAAGTTCATATGCATTTAAAGCAAATAGTAGCAGTAACAGAATTATTAGTACTACTATAGTTTTATAAATCTGAATGTGTGGATAGTGTGTTATCAACACTGTGGAATTGGTGAGCTAAGTTCAAATTCTATCTGAATGTGCTGCATTCACCTTTGTCCTAATGTCCTTGAGAAATTCATATCTTTCCCCACTCCTACTCAGATATAGGTTAAAAATAACAGGGTAGACTAGACATTCTAGCATTGGGTGTCAGCCAGTCAGACAACTTTGAATATGAAACTATGAAGAAAGCTGCTCCATTATCTGAACCAAGAAGTCATGATAAAAGATGGTTAATAAAAAAGATGGAACTTATGGAGAGCCATGATTATTTATGTCCAAAAAGGACATAGCCTTTAAAAAAATTGATAAATTAATGTAAATCATGTTTTGTTGTACGAATGTAGATATAATTGAAATAAAATTTGTTTTTCAGCTGACACTGATTGATCGGCAGAACATATCAAAATAAATGTTTTCCAAATTGTCTGATATCATTACCACATTATACATTTTTTCCAGTCATATATCTGCTCATTTTTAACCACCAGCAATCTGTTTCTTTATAATTTTCAATGCATTTAAATGAATTCACATAAAGCTTTATTCTGTTATGAGCTCTTGCATTAATTCCTGAATATGAACAATCCCATGCTTTTTTTATTTCAGTGCTTTTAAAATCATTAACAATGCCTTTACATTATACAGGATGTTAATTAAGGCTGCAAGCATTCTTGGACAAAGCATTTCATTACTGAGAATTATAAAAAAAATTCCATCCACCCCTTTTAATTGAAACTTAAGTGTAATCCTGTTCTGTCAGTATTTTCATTACTTCACACATTATTCATATTATTATCCTAATCATTATTATTTTGATTATTAGTTTCCTGCTGACACATTCTTTGAATGAAACATCGGAATCATAACCCAGAATCCAAGGAGGTTAATTACCTGAATAATTGCTGGAACAATAAATAGAGGAGAAGGGAGGTCAGAAAATGTACCAGTCAAAACATAATGATCTAAAGAATGAAAATGATAATGATATCCCAAATAATTTATGGAGTAATAAATATGGTCTATCTTTGATTTTTATGCAATACTAAGATTTTAAAATGGCTGTATTAAAGCTTTGTATTAAGAACAATGAAGATTAGGATACTAGTCTTAATAATTTGTAGAGAAATGAAAATACGATATTTTAAGACTTCAAACAATAGAAGGAAAGCTGGAATGAAAGGATCAAAACAACAAAGATTAGGATACTAGTCTTTATAATTTGTAGAGAAATGAAAATACGATATTTTAAGACTTCAAACAATAGAAAGAAAGCTGGAATGAAAGGATCAAAACAACAAAGATTAGGATACTAGTCTGAATTATTTCTGAAGAAATAACACTTAGCAACAAAAAACATTTTCATTAATCAATATTAAATGTTTCATGTTTAGTTTCTTCTTTTATGCACTAAGTCCCTCAAAGATGTAGGCAATCATAGTTATCCACAACTTCCTGTTTTTTGTGGCTCTTAGTGACTTTTGATCCTTTACCCTCCCTCTTTGTCTGTGTTCTGCCATCCATTTACACAAACTCATTACTTGTAGTTTCTCCTTTTTTTCTTTTGCCTTCAATATATCCTATGAATATTAGATTCTCGAGGTTGCCTTTCCAGAAATTTCAAATCTCTCTTTCTGATTATAAATGCATATGATATTGCTCTCACATCTGGACTGGTGCTTCTGCTATGTAGGTAGAGATTTTTGATAAAATACAAAGAAAAATCTGCAATGTTATTGGTCCTGACCTGGTATCTCAGCTTCAGTCACTTTCCCACCACCATAACATAACTTCCCTTTGCCTTTTCTATAAATATTTTCATGGGAATTGTTCTGATGAACTTTCTTTTAAGGTACCTTGATGTTATGAATTTAAGTGCACTACTAGATTGGTGGCAAGGTCTCATCATTTTATAGTTGAAATGGCTTGATGTGATCATAAGCTCTATGCTAACCATTTCTTCTCTTGCATTTCTCATTTGTAGAAGACTCTTCCAGCTTCTTGCTTTCCAGTCAATTTTGATATTCAAAAATTTAAATACAATGTCAATCATTATTTTCTGTCTTCTTAATTCTTATTCTTTTATTGTTCTCTCTCCTTAATGTTTTTTTTTCTCATATTCTCTGACACTCAGTAACACCTTGTGTCTTAGTGGTTTTATTGCCTTGCTTGGGGTGAAATGATAAAAAAAGAGAGAAAAAGTATTCATGTTTGAAGTATTCAGTAGTCACCATTTGGGAGTTATGTGAACAAAAGAACTTGGAGTACAGTTTTCACCAAGTTAAAAATTGATTCAAAAGTACAGTGGTCATTCCTTATCCATGGCAGATATGTTTCAAGAGATCACCACCTATGGAAACTGAAAATTTCACCCTATATATACTGCTTTGTCCTTATGTACTTATGATACATCAATAAAAAAAAACCCCAAAAAACACAAGGTTATCATTAAGGTTTCATATTTATCTTTTTATGCATCTCCAATCAGTTGTGAACAGGCAGGAATTGGCTGGTTAACTTTAACGCCTCCAAAACAAAACTGCTCTCTATTAATCACCACAGAGATCCTTCCTTGCCCCCCCTCATTCTCGAGAGCACTACTCTGCGACTGCTCAGTCTCACATTGTCTGATGACCTAAGATGGAACAAATCCATTAAGTCAATTGCTTTGTCCACTGCAAGGAATGTTGTCTCCTTGTGCTGCGCCAGGAAATTTTTCTCCCGGAATCGATCCTTCAAATCTACAAATCAACCATTCACCCTTGCATGGAGTTTTGCTGCCATATATGGTCTGGAGCCCCTTCTGTTTGCCTTGGGGTTCTTGATAAGATCCAGAGATGGATATGCAATGCAATTGGCCTTGATCTGGCATCTTGTCTGCAGTCGCTCTATACAGACATGCCGTTGCCTCTCTCTGTTTTTTTTTACAAATACTTTCATGGTAATTGCTCCAATGAGATGCTTTCGCTGGTTCCCAGGCTTCATGAATTCAAGCGTCCTATGAGACTGGCATCCCGCTCTCACACTTTCACTGTTGAAATTGTTAAATATAGCTGTCTCTTCTACTCCAATAGCTTCATATATTGCACCTCTCACCTGTGGAACTCCCTTCCCTTTTCCTGTTTCCCTGATAGCTATAATCTCCAACTATTCAAATGTAATGTCAATAGACATCACCAGTTGCCTTGATCTATCCACTATCCTTCTCTTCATCCTTTCCTCTATCACTCCTATCTGCTCTCGCTCCAAATCCTATGTAACCCCTTGTGTGCTAGTGGCTTCCAGCGTTGCTTGGGGTGAAATGCTTAAAAAAAAAAAACAAAAAAAAACTAAGTCTCTTCAGGACATGGACGATCATAATTCTCTACAGTTTTCTGTCTTTTGTTGCTCTAAGTAACTTTTGATCTTTTACCATAATTTGGGGCTATCATTTCCTCCTTGTTGTACTCCTGATGAAGTCTGGAATGTTTTGGTATTGGTGCCCTTGCCAGACATACAACTTTGTAGACTGATGTAGTTCTTCAATTAGATCTAGACATTCAGTGGATTTGGAGCTTGGAAGGTGGTTTCTAATGGATGAGAAAAGAAAAACTTATTGAAATGGTAATAGTCATCATTAGGATAAAGCTTAATTTATAAATTAAACACAATTAAGAGATGAACATCAATAACTAATAACAAAATAGAACAATTATAACAATATACTGTCATAAAAGTTATGTAATAGATTGAAAATTCATTCTGACTAGAGATCTTAACAAACTCAGTATTAATACAGGATGAAGGGAAAAAGAAAAAATGGAGAGAAAATTGGGAAAAGAAAAATGAAAATGGTAGATTCAGGAGAGGAAAATCAAGAAATAGAAAAGAGTCTCAATAGAGAGAGAAATGCAGAGATAAAAGGAGAGAGACTCTGGGAAAAAAATATTGAAGAGAGATAAACTCAAGAGAGAGAGAGAGAGAGCGAGTCGAAAGAGGGAGGGTGTGTGGGAGAGAAAAGAAGATATTAAAGACATAAAAGAGCAAAATAGAAAAGAGAGAGATGCACAAGATTAAAGAGAGAGGATAAAAGTGAGTCAATTCCAGTAAGCAGTAAAGATACAAAAAAGAGAAAGAGACTCAGGGCAGGGAGGAGAAAGGGTGAGAATAAAAGAAGAAAGGAGATAGAAAACTACTCTTGGTTTTATATCTCTTATTTCTACTTTGCAGGAGAAGAAAGGACCATAAAGAGAGGTGTTTGTGTATTATGTATGAATAGAGAGAGAGAGAGAGAAGAGAAGGAGTAGGAGTAGGAGAAAGTAATATAGTAAAATATATTAATATAAAATTAGTTAGTTTCTCATTCCTGAAAAAAACAGAGAAAGAGAGATGTAGGACAAAGAGCGAGAAGAGAGAGAGACAGTAGAGAGAAAAAGAGAGGCCTTTGATATTATTTCTAAAAATTGCCATCAATAGCTTCTGTTTGTATTGCAATATAGATCCACAGAAACATGAAAATATTGATTTTCATTTGAATAAAAAGAAACTGAATGTTTGCCTTAAAATAAACAGTAATGAATGAAATGTTGAAATTATATGATGATAAAAGATAAAGAGAACAAAGGAATATAAAGAATATAGGATTAAGTACAAAATAAAATAACATCAGAATAGTAACACCATTATATATTATAATAATCTGATTTCTGTTTGTCGGTTTCTTAAAATTACTCAGTAAAGACAGCACATCATAGCAAGATTTCTGTTAACTCACTGCCATGAAAATGTTCTAACTTTGAGAATAAAGCAATTTCTAGTCCAATTTGTAATTTAATACAAATAATATTTGTCCATGCATTAGATATTGCTACCATATCTGCTTCTACTATATATCTCAAGATTCCTTACTAAATTCAAAGAAGGGTCTATAATGTAATCAATCCTGAACTGACATCTCGACTCCAGTCACATTCCCATTGCCATGACATAGCTTTCCTGTCTTTTCTAAAAATATTTTCATGGCAATTATTCTGATGAGCTTTCCTTCTTGTTGCCTTGACTGCATGAATTTAAGTCTACTACTAGATTGGCAGATAGGTCTCAATATTTTACTGTTGAACAAACTAGATGCAAACTCTATTTTAATATTTTTCTTTTCTTGCCTGTGGAACTCTCTTCTAGTATCTTGCTTCGCTGTCACTTACAATCTTAAAAAGTTAAATGCAATGCTAATTGCCATCTTCTATCTTCCTGTTCTTTTATTCTCCTTTCTCTGCACTAAAGTCTTCTTATTCTCTTTCACTCTCAGTAACACTTTTCGCCTTAGTGGCCTTATCACCTTGCTCAAGGAGAATTTAAAAAAATAGTTTCACCCCAAATTTCTCCCGTGAGATAACTATATGTATATTAAATGTTATTTCTTAAGTAGTTTGCCATATTTATTTATTTGAAAATAATTATAATATAAAATTCTATAAATATGAACTGACTTGAATTTGAGCTTAATGGCCACCAATGGTGGCCTTTAAGGGATTTTATGCAAGTTGGATTTGTCAATTTTATCATCAAAATTTTGACAACACTATGGAAAAGTTTTTCATCTTCCTTCATGATTAAAATATGCATTTGTCAGGATTTCCTGACAAACAAATTGACTGTCATTTGGTTTGATATAAATCTTTCTGTCACCTGGGTTGGATTTTATCTGTAATGTTTATCCTGGCTCTTTGAGTCTTTCTGATCGCTTTCTTCATCGTCTCTTGTCTACACAGTCAATAAATATATAATATTTAATAGTGTTTGTACAACAAAGCTAACTCTTTTTAATGTACTGTGTCTCTTGAGAACATGGGAGATCATGACTCTCCACAATTTCCTATCTTTTGTAGCTCTAACCAATATTTATCTCCTTACTATCCCTCACTGTCTCTGTTCTGCCATCAAATTGCACAAGCTGGTTAGGTAGCTTGCTTGAAGTTTCCCTTGGCCCATCTTGCCTTCAGTATGTTCTGTAAGTGTCAAATTCTCCAAGCCTCCTTTCCTCATTAAGTATCCCAGAACCTTCAACTGTTTCTTTCTGATTCTATGTACAAGTGTCATTTTTGTTTTATTTAAAACTTCTTTGTTGCTTACATGTTCCATCCATGTTATTCTCAGCATCTTTCTGTAGAACAACATCTCTATTGCTTCAAATTTTCTCTTCATCTGTGAGGAAATTGTCCAACATTTACTACTATCTTGGAGGATTGATATTACATAGAATTTCAGCACTGTTTTCTTTGTTTCTAATGAAATTTTCCTGTTTCTTAATACTTTATTTAACTTTTGGAAGGATGCTATTCAAAAATATTCAGTGTCATATTTTCCATTGTCTGTTAAAATACTTCCTTGGTAGTTAAATCTCTGTGCTTTCATGATTTTGACATCTCCAATTTGTAGCTCACATCTTGGGCTGTTTCTTTTGTTGACAACTATACATTTCTGTCTTCTTACATTTGATAGTCCTTTCTTCCAACTTCCCAGTTAGAGAAATGGCTAGTTTTTTAAATATTAGGTCTGACACAAGCCCATTTTATAAGGAATGGAGAACTGAAAAATTGTGCTGTGGAACTCTTTCAGATTAGGAAGCCCGCTTGTCTTAAAAATCAGCATTTGAAATTCTAACATTTACCTAAACTCAAATGTAAACCATTGACACCAGTATAATACACAACTCAGTCAAGGGTGGGGGACTCACAGATACATCATGTTGAAACATTGGTTCTCATATGATCACTGAAGTGAAGTAACATTGGGCCTGGTCAGTACCTAGATGAGTGACTGTTTGAGATGTGAGGATGGTATGATAGATAATAGCTTGAAATTTTTAATTGAAGAGTTCCAATTTTCGTTGGGTTTGTTACATTCACTTATATGCAAATATTCTTGGGAAACATATGAATCCACCTCTTCTCTCCCCGGCTATGAGTTAATTAGTGAGACTTGTAGCCCATAACCATTATTATCTATAAAAAAAATTTTTTTTTTTTTTTTTTAAGCATTTCACCCCAAGCAAGGTGGAGTTACGGAGGGTAGAGAACAAGAGTAAAGAGGTGTGTTTGGGGAGAAGATAAGCAGAAGGTCGAGGAACAAGATCAAGGCATTAGAAGATGTTGACTGACATTACATTTGAATATTAGAAGATTATAGTTATCAAGGAAGAAAGTAAGAGGAAGAGAATTCCACAGACGGGAAGTACGAGAGAAGAAGCTGTTTGAGTAGAAGAGACAATTATATTTAGCCATTTCAACAGTGAAAGGGTGTGACCAAGATGCAAACCTAGTAGCTCGCTTAAATTCATGAAGTCTGGGAACCAGCAAAAGCAACTTGTCGGAACAGTTGCCATAAAAATATTTATAGGAGAGACAGGGGGTTATGATCTAAAAATAACCTGCAAAGGGTTGATAAGCCATAGAAAATGAATGAATCAATCAGTCATGGGTTAGGCCCAATCTTTTTACAAAGTTTAGCTCAGTCTGACATACGAAGGAAATTGGGTCGAGGAAGATGGTATGGCAATTTTCCAATTGATCTGAATATGATTTGAATCTATGCAATCTTAGCTTGAAATTGAACTCAGTGTGTTGATTCTATCCTAAGAGAGAAAATAAAACTTTAAACTATTTATGAAATGTTTACAAATAGACATAAATATGTTTGTTGATTAACTGCCGATATGAGTGAGAAATTTTAAAGAATGTTATGATCAAATGATATTAAAACATAGGAGACTTGTTTGTATGACATTAGAATATAGGCAACTTGATTTTAAGATATTAAAATGTAGGGAAAGTGAATGAATATACAAAATAGACAAACAAAAGCAGTCTATTTTTGAAGTTAAACAAAAGTCCATTAATGAGAAACTGTCCACTTTCTCTTATCTTGATCTTGTTTCTACGTGCTACAAAATTATATTTATTTCAATATCCTTTTGTTTCATTCAAAATTAATTCAAAAATTAAAAATAAAATAAATGTACACACCAGAAATTCTTTATCTTGAGATTTATAAAAACACACAGAAATAGATTTGCTAACAAATACCTTCAATGCTGGCAAACCTGAATTACTGCTCTCATGTTGAGTCGGCCTATGCAAGAATTCTCCTTCTGACCAGATGAACCACTATTTCATTCTCATATCAACAATGATAAAAGACACCAACAAAAATAATTCACATTTTGAAAATGATTTTCATCAGAGAACAAATTTGGTTATGAAATATTTTCCTTTATTCTTTTAATCATTCTGATTAAGTTTTTATCACAATTTTAACTGATTTGACTGTTGAATAAAACTGTGAGAATTCACAACAAAGTAGTCATATCAGACAATACTTGAATTCATATGCAATAATTGAGGAGGTGTAAAGATGTGAAATAGTGCTGCATAATTTTTTAATCTCATTTGGCCTTGTTTAAGCATCTCTGGACAGTAAACAGTTCTTTCATTGTTTTATGACCCAATATAAAGTTCAGGTCACATTATTTGTTTATGAATTTAGATATAAAAAAAAACTGCAGTTTGCAGATTGTTAAAATAGATTATTTGAGGAAATCAACTTTTCTTCAGTCAAATTTATGATATGATTACATTCATTCAGCTATGACAAGAAAATTTAAAAAAAATTAAAAGTTACTGTTGTTGGTTGATTCTTTCATATTTTGTGATTGCTATAAACATGATGTCTGTATTTAATTTTTTTGTTTTGTAGACTAAGTGATTGATTTGTTTTTTATGGCTTATCAACCCTTTGTGGGGTATTTGAAGCTGAAACATATTTTGGGTTCTAAGAATAATTCTTTTTTTTTTTTGCTAGTTTATATTAACATTATTTTGAGAATAACAATGATTTTTCAAGATACAAGTCCTACTACTTAACCCATAAGAGAATAGATAGATTCATACTTTTGCCAAGGGTATCTGTGTGTAAGTGAATGAAACAAACTTGATTGGAATTTAAACAGCTTTCTGATTTCTCATTCTGAGCCATTATCCATTACACCACCCACACATACTTTTTTTGCAAAGAATTGCAAAGATTTGCAAAGATTTTTTTTTAATTTCTAATAAGAGTTTCATTGTTGTTCTCTTCTATA